AAACATCGCTTCATTGGTATTTAATTTGTTTTTTAAGGTGGCAATGTTCCGCGTGAAGCAACGAGATGCAGCAACTCTACTCCCGATCATTAGAGCACATGTCAAACCAGGTAAGAAAAAAAAAATACATTTTGTTCAGCTCAATTTCGTCTACTTCAGGCTCTATGATTGTATCCGATGGTTGGGCCGCCTACGGAGGCATCAGAACCCTCCAGAGAGCGTTTACACACAGATGGGTCAATCACAAAGTAAACTTTGTTGACCCCAGCGATCGACGAGTTCACACTCAGTCTATTGAAGCCACATGGGGTGCTTTCAAACGGGAACTCAAAGCGAAATGTGGCGTCCCAGAAGATCAACTCGACGGATACATGTCGACATACATGTTTAGACGATACTTCGGAAGAAAAAAACTTCTGAACCACCTTCTGATCGAGATGAAGTATTATAAGAAAGAAGATGTCTATGATTCAAGTGAATCTGAAATCTCCACGGATGAAAGCTCTGATTACGACGGCGGTGAAGACGAGTCCGATTCCAGCGACCCGAATCATGGAGACGACGATGATGAAGACGGAGCAGATAGTACAGTTGATGATAATAATGGCTATAATGATGATGATGACAATAATAGCGATGATGATAACGATGACAATAATGACTATGAAGATAATGGTGATAATAATGATGATGATGATTATGATGATGACGATATCCAAAACGAGGATGAATCAGAGTTTGAGGAAGAGCAGGAGGGAGAGCAAGAAGAAGAACAGGACGAAGAGCAGGACGAAGAGAAGGAGGATGAGGAGCAGGATGAGGAGCAGGATAAGGAGCAGGACGAGGAGCAGGAAAAGAATCATGAAGATGAGTACGAAGATGAACAGGAAGAGGAAGATCAATTGACTGAAGCACCGACCACGAAAATCTTCAGAAAAAGAAAACAGTTCGATTCTGATAGAGTTTCATTTGCTCCCAAACAACGAAATGAAAGAAACAATCGCGCCTTTACATTTTAAACAAGACAAACCACAATGGCTGCTCGTTTGAATCGAAATAGGAACGAACGTCGAAGTTCTTCTACCGCTTCTACAATGAGAACCACCACCTCTTCTAAGCCAGAAATGATTATCAAAACCAACAGACCAATTTCGTCAACTACACCAAGGCAAACGACGACCAAAACTCGAAAACCTCGGAAGAAGACACAAAGTCGAAAAGCTGATCCTACAACCACCATCACAACCAGCAACCATGAGGACCACGACCACCATGAGAACAAGACGAACAACTTCCCATCAGTCGAGACGAACCACGACAGAACCTCGTACGAAACGGACGACGTCTGCCCCTGAAACGAGACAAACAACCATCACCACTCAGAAGACTCGGAATGATAGAAGAAGACGCGGGCGGCCCACTACCACCACTCCAAGATCGACTACCATTACTCCAAGATTCACAACCACTACTCTAAAATCCACTTTCACCGGCCGAAGGAAGTTCAAAGGACGCGGATAAGATCATCTTGTTGCAACCGATATTCTTTTTTTTGTGTTCTGAACTATTTATCCTCTCTAATTCTTATATGCCACACCTTTTAGTCTTATACCTTCTTCTGAATAAAAATCAAAATTACAAAAAAAATTATTTTTAAAACATCAAAACTATTGAAAACATGATTGGAATAAATAAACGTTTCAATCTAACCAAATTTTCAAACAAAACATCTTTCTTTAAGGACCAGAATTTTTTTTAAGGACCAGAATTTTTTTTTAAGGACCAGAATTTTTTTTAAGGACCAGAATTTTTTTTTAAGGACCAGAATTTTTTTTAAGGACCAGAATTTTTTAAGGACCAGAATTTTTTTTAAGGACCAGAATTTTTTTTAAGGACCAGAATTTCATACTAGAGCCAAATTGTCAACTAATGAAGTGTGTGAAATTTCACAAGCTACAAATTTGTAGTTTGCAACGTTCTGTTTGCTCTATTAGTGATTGAGATATGCGCCTTTGAAGTGCTTTGAAGCGCTATATGTTTTCAGACAAATCATAAGCCGTTGAGCTCAAAAAGATAGCTAAAACCTGCTTCAGCAACAGCGAGTTCGAGGAGCTAGCAGGTTACATCGTTCGAAGTGACATAGCACGATCACTTGCCTATACATTGATCCGAGAGAGTGTGGCGACTATAGGACTAACAGAATTACGGTCCACGCTGAATCTGGAGCCACTGCCCCCATGGAAAACCCACAGCCCGGCGACAACGAACTAGCGTCAGCGCCTACCATTCAGGCATATTACGATCTTAAAGAACCACGCTCCCAGTTTAGAAGCCTTGATAGTCGCTACTTGTATGAGCACAATGTGACTGTAAAATATCTGGATAAACGGTTTCCAGCGATTCGCAAGATTTTTAGGCGTAGGTTTGAAGAGATACGTACATCTAATAAATTGATAAATAGGAAAGGAATTGATCAAATGATTGAGGAGTATCAAGACGTTTTTAAAAGAGCGAAAGATGCAGTGTATGAAATAAGCAACGGTAGTAGATTTAGTAGAAGATGCCGGCAATTGATTAAATGTTTAATACCTTTTTTTCTAATTTATTCTGTATTGCATTGTATTTAAATATTGAATAAACGGATGCCCAATTGACTATATCAGAACATTGTTAACTACAGAAATATTGGAAATTTTATAAGCTACAAGCTTGTAGTTGAACACTCTTTGATAGCTATCTTGGTTTGTGAGATATGCGCCTTTAAAGGTGGAGGGACACGAAAAAAATAATGTTCTCGAAAATCCGTTTGAATATGTCCCTTGGGGAGTTGAACTCATGACAGGCAGATCAGGGGTACAGCACCGCTACCGACTGAGCTACGCGGGCAAAAGTGAAGTGGGCGCCCGATTGTAAACATAAGGGTGAGGACGACAGCTGTACGCAGAGTGACATTAAGCGTTGTACACCGTGACGGTAGAATGCATACTCTGGCTCCAAAAACCCCCCGTAAAATCTCCTGTCCCCCCACCTTTAAAGAACGCAACTGCGTCTCCGCGGGCTCAAGCTTTAAAGGCGCATATCTCAAAAACTAGAAAAGCTAGAGTGCTAACTACCGAAATGTGTGGAACTTAAAGAGCAACATTTTTGTAGTTGGCTACTTTTTGATAGCTATTTTGGTTTGTGAGATGTATCTTTGAAGCTAGTGTGCCGCAAAGATAAGAGATCCGCCACCTCCTCTGAGCTCACGCCAACTTTAAAGACGTATATCTCAAAAACTAGGAAAGCTACAAAATATTTGTTAACAGTGAAAATGTATGAAATTTAAAGAGCTACATTTTAGTAATTAATTACTTTTTGGTAGCTCTTTTACTTTTTGAGATATGCGCTTTTAAAGTAGGTGTGCGTGAAGACGCAGAAAAAGGAGAACCACCGCCTTCTCCAAGCGCCCGCCACCTTTAAAGACACATATCTCGAAAACTAGCAAAACTAAAACAAATTTGTTAACTGCAAGAATGTGTAAAATTTAAAGAACTACAATTTTATAATTTACGCAATTCTAATATCTGCAAAACTGACAGAGATACTATCTCTTGGAGGAAGGTTACATCGATTTAGAGGTGGCTACTATTTTCAAGCGCTTGTATCTTTGTCAATTTTGTAACTATTCAAATTGTGTTTACTACAAAAACAAAGTTCATATAATTTTACACACTTTTGTAGTTTACAACTTTTTTCTAGCTTTTCTAGTTTTGAAGATATGCGCCTTTAAAGTTGACATGCGCTCAGAGGGGTAGAAAAAAAGGGGGTGCAACAGAGCGCGCATGAAAGCACACACAAAAGAGCGTTCCAATTTGGGACAGTTCGACTCCTTACCAGTTCGAACTTGTAACAGTTCGATTCTGTCCGCGTTCTGTTCTGGTACGTGTGCGAAAAAAGGACTGTTCTGAATTGAATCTGTTCGATTTTGAAAACGTTCGAATTCGTCGTACCCCCCGAAAAAAATCTGGCACGCTGCCAATTTTCTCTGGGTCTCTCTCGTTTTCTCTGCGTCTCTTATCGAAATGACCATCTCTCAAGGGTGTAGAGTATGGAGGTCAGTCATTCATGTTGTTCTTCCGTGGTGTTTGAATTGAATTTCTGTGCCATGAGCCTTTAAATTTGCAGGCCTTACTGTAGAAAAACGTGGTTTTTCTGGCGATCTTTCAGCGATTTTCAGCCATTTTTTGTCCCCAAAAAATTTCAGACAAATTTTACAGAAATGGGCGCTCTCAAAGACATGATTCTGTTCATCTACACACTGATTCTTTTCGTTCTCCATGCCGCCGGATTCTACCAATTATTTCATGAGGAATTTCTCACTTCCCAGGGCTTCCAGTACCATCAAATGGTCGGATATTTGATGATTATCACTGCGATACAGTACTTGGACATTCCATTTTCGTTCTTTTTGACCAGATCCAATCCGGTTGTTGTTTTCATGCAGGTTGGTTTTTTTTAGCGATGGAGCGCATTTGGTGTCGGCGGGAGATTTGAAAAAGTTGAATTTTTCGATATTTTTGGTTAGATTAGCGCTGTTTTTAGTAGGTTTTGTGCTGTTTGAAACTGATTAAATGCTATTTTCAAGCCATTTTAACCAGTTTCAGGCGATTTCAGCAAAATTCGAATTTCGCCCATTTTTAGCGCGATTTATTATAATTTTAGCTGCATTAGGCTATTTTTAACATTTTGAAAGCTATTTTTCACTATTTTACACTTATTTTTACTCAATTAAATGCTACTTTCAGCTGCTTGTACAAGTTAGCTATGGAGCGCATTTGGTTTAGGCGGAAAAAATTTGAAAAAATAATTCAAAAATCGGATTTTTGGCTAGTTTTTTGCTATTTTACTAGTTTTTGGCTGTTTCAGCGTAATTTTCTAAAAATTTCAGAAAAACTTAATTTTGATCATTTCAGGTTATTTTGAAACTATTTTTTACCTATTAAACGCCTATTTTCTCCTGCAGCAGGTACGGTAGAGCGCAATTAGTTTGGGCGGAAATTTGAAAAAAACATCATTATTTCGGAATTTTTACGATTTATAAGACAATTTCTGATTATTTTTAGCGGTGTTTAGCAATTTCGGCCTCATTTTTTTCAAAATTTCAAATATTTTAAGCTATTGTTACCAATTTTCGAAAAAAAAATTTTTTCCAAAAATTCGAATTTTGACCATTTTAGACCGAAATTGTATAACTTTCAGACATTTTTAGGCATATTCAGGTCATTTTGAGCTATTTTTTTTTCCAAGTTCAGTAGAGCGTAATTGGTGTAGGCGGGAAATTCGAAAAATGGATTTTCGGAATTTTTACGATTTTAGTCATCTTTTAGACTGTTTTTAAGCGTTTAAGCTGTTTTTAAGCGATTTTATAGCTATTTTCATTAGTTTTAAGCCAATTTTTTAAAATAATTTTTTCAAAAGTTTTCAAATTTAACATTTTCAGGTCTCCGGTCGAATGTTCGTCCTCTGGGTCGCTTCTCATATGTCGGGTTGGCACGGTGCCAGATTCACTCTCGTCGCCGTCTACCTGCTCAGTGAGCTCTGTCGTGGACCCTACTACCTTGCCACGTGTCTAAGAACCCCGAATCGGCATTTGACATGGATACGGTACAACGCCTTTAAGCTCCTCTATCCAGTGGGGTTCTCGTGTGAAGGTAAATGTGCTCTGTTGAGAATTTGGCTTAAAAATACTTAAAATAGCCTGAAAAGAGCTTAAAAGTGACTAAAACGCCTAAAAATCGATTTTCAGCCCTTGTCTTCCTCAACTACTGGTTCGTCGCCAAGAAGACCCCCATCGACTACCGTAATCCCCAATTTTTGGCTGCGATTCCATTTACTGTATTTTTTCTCTCCATCGTCACCTATTTATTCCGTTCCATGAGCCGAAAAGCGGCGAAAAAGAATTTGGAATTGGAGAAATTGGCCAAAATCCATTAATTTTTGTGTTTTTTCTTCATTTTTCTGTGTTCATTGCAAGCCAAAATGTAAATAAATTGTGTCTAAACCCCGAAAACCCGTTCTTTTCATCGATTTTCGCCGAAAAACGCCAAAAAACCGGAAAAATATCGAAAAAAAACCAATTTTTCGCCAAAAAAATAAATTAAAGGTGGTGTACGGTGAAATTTTTTATTGCATCAAAATGTGCAGAAATGCATGTAGATTGACATAAAAATAAAGAAAAAATTCAAAAAAATTCCTTCATCGAGAAAAGCGCATCGAAAAATTCGCTGAAAACCCTTAGGGACTAGGTTTTTTCTAGGCCGCCCGGTGAGTAAAAGCGCGCGAATTCAAACTTTTAAATTTTTTTCGCTCGTTTTCACTGTTTTTTTCAAATTTTCCGATGTATCTGGAATACAAATTAACGAAAACCTTGAAAACTCTTGAAAAAACCGAAAAAAACAGTGAAAACGAGCGAAAAAATTTTAAAAGTTTGAATTCGCGCGCTTTTAGTCACCGGGCGGCCCAGGAAAAAACCTCGTCCCTAAGGGCTTTCAGCGTATTTTTCGATGCGTTTTTCTCGCCGAAGGAATTTTTTTGAATTTTTTCTTTATTTTTATGTCAATCTACATGCATTTCTGCACATTTTGATGAAATAAAAAATTTCACCGTACACCGGCCCACGATCCAAGGGTACATCGAAAAAGGGTTCATCGAGGGTACATCGAGTTCTTAGGGTACATTGGTTCTGAGGGTACATGGGATCTTAGACTGTAAGGCGTTTCCGCCTAAACCTATAATTTTGAGCAG